TGCGTCCTCTAAATGGACATTGAGAATTTACACAAAGTGTTCGAATTGAAGCGAAGCGCAGTGTTAGTATTTGGTGTTTGGTGTCATTCTCTAGGTTCATAAGTGGACAATCCTCTGAATGATTTAATGCCTTTTTTGCATTCATTCGCATTCCCCAATGTCATCCGTGCAGCTTCATCTCCGCTTTTAGTATGTATAATCTTATGATATTATTTACTAAAATCTTGCTCTGTTTCATGACATAACCAAAGTGTTATTTTAACAGCGCTTGCTATTGACCTGAGTGCAGCACTGCGCGTTAACTGAATAGCCTGCTGGCTGCCTTAATGCAACTTCTAGGCTCAGTCGGTTAGTGCACCTTCATAAGTGATAGCGTTCCACTGCCTCGGCATCTACCTATCACCGTTCTGTGATGTGCCACTTACAGCCTTCTCTGTTTCTGAACCATCTGTGTCTCGAGTGTGCCAGTGTCGCCAGTACTGAGAGCATCGGAATCATTACCAGAGACAGAATGAGATAGAACTAAGGCCAATGATAGTCCGTTTTTCAGGAAAGTTGTCTGCAAAATCACAAAGCGAATGTACCTGTCGTATCTCACGGTGTAAATTCGCCATGATTTTTTAAAAACATGTCTAGATATACCTGACTGTTGTAGATGGCTTGCCATTTCATGATTGAGGGCATCAAACAACGCAGATGTTAACTATATTACCAGCTAGTTTCATTATGCATGCCCTAGTCAGGGCACAACTAATATCTAAAGAAAGCCACTTTAGATAAATGCCATCGTGAACAAAGATACGTCACTTTAAAGTGAATGACATTTTAACTCCAAATTTTTGCCAGTATATTGAAAAATACGTCACTTTAAAGTGAATGACATTTTAACTCCAGATTTTTGCCAGTATATTCATAATTTTAACTTTTAGAGTTGATTTCAGCCATTCTTTCCGCCGCCCCTAATCTTCTTATCAAGTTTGTGGTAGCACCTCAGCTTTCACTCAACACAACAGAGGCGGAGGTACTTCATCTTCAAACTGCATGATCTCCTTTAGTCCTTGTCTGGTTATTATAGATGACGGACATATTCATGTGACTGAAGGCGTGTCATTCAGAAATGGCGAAATGCCGAAGTAGTCAGCCTGTCCGACTACAGTTAAGTGCTCCTTGATGCGAATATTCAGTCTGCATTTGGTTTTTCCAGTGTATGTCTTAGCACAGTCCCCGTACCCGTCTTAGCACAGACTATACTCAACTCCTCTGGATGCTCGGATTATACTTTGTAAAAGAAAGCGTCTCTATATATCTAACTCTCAGTCCACCTATTTTATTCACTTGAAAAAATTTGGCATAAGTTTTTTTGTCAAAATTGAGCCCTCTGCTCTCAAACATTTTGATGAATAGATGGAAATAAACACCTCAATGACATGTAAACGATACGATGATCCGAGACTCGGCTAAATTGTTTGTGTTCCCCTGCCCTTATGATATACTCTCATTAACCGGACAAATTGACAAAAAGGGCGGTTGCGAAGTCGGAGAAGGGAATATCTTTGTCTGAACCGCGAATTTCCTTAAGCAAGCAATTTGCTCAACCGTGCTACTCTCCAAGAAACGAATATCAAATCCCTGAATTGCGAACAACAGGGACAGTTGTCATACCAGAATGAGGGGTGTACGGCCTTGCTGAGCGATGCGAGAGCCCCTTGTAGATGAATTTGTTTGGCTCATCTGATAACTGAATCGTCTAGTATGATAATTAGTAGAAGATGTAACCCACAAAAGAAATCTGAGAGCACTTTTATATACAGCTAGTTGCAGTATATGTACAAAATATCGGCGAAGAGGTAGCGGGTTCTCTTAATGAATGTAAATGGGCAGGTCAGGGCTGCCAGTTGTTAATGATTCTATCTGACCTGTTTGGCGAATTATGCGGTTAGCATCAGAAGACTTCATCAGTGGTTCCAAGGTCACCAAATTGCAAAACGCAGTTGATATAGTCACAGTCCTTGCTTGTTCAACAGATTTGCATCATCATCTGTAGCAAAAGTTTTTGTCTAAAGTTCGTCTTGACGAAGATAAGAAAGAAAACAGTGGTCATAAATCAGCTCAAACATGGAGTTCTATAAATTATGCTGAATTACAGCAAATTCCATTATACGTTATCTGACTTGTCCTAGTTTTAGGTGCACCATGAACGCATGTCACACTCCTCCAATGTTCTTTATTTTCCGCACTCTTCCTCCACCACTGGCCAAGTAATTTGACCATCAAATCATGCGGCGTGTTCTTGGATGACCGACTCCACGTTCGTGGTTTAACAGAACCCAGTTTATAATTCTTGACGTCCTCTGGTTGTCTCTCAGGCGAACCACATCACTGATCCATCTTCTCTTGGCGTCGCAGAAGGCATGAATTTGCGTGCGTCTGTTTATCCTGTCCGTTGTCGACTTTTTGCGCTTGAAACGTGATCTCGGCGGGACACCTTGCGCATTATTTCGTTCTATCGCTTTTTACGTGGCCATCAGTTTGTCTTCTTCGGTTTTAGTATCTGGTCAACATTCAGCACTGTAGATAATGAATGATAGGACGGTTGACTCCAACAGCTCTTTCTTCGCTTGCATGGGTAGCTCACTATCGAGTAAAGATCTTTTAATAAGATTAAAGCTGACCCATAACCCTCTTTGGCTAAATTTCCCTTCTAGCGAGTTCATGCGGTCCACTTGACAGCCAAGGTATGCATTGTTCGGGACTTCTTAAAGTTTTTTACGATCGAGAGAGCCATCGGGGCCGTGCTTGTTTTGCATCCATTTCGTCTTGGAGAGGTTTATTTGCAAACCGATGGTGAGAATTTCTTCTTGCAGTTGTCTGTTCTTCTGTTAGAACTCCATCGTTTCTTGTGCGAAGACCGTACAGTCGTCCGCAAATAGCATGCGCGTTAGCTGTTCTCCATTAGTGCTGATATCTTTGCACCAGTTTGGGAGGGGGTTCATCATCATCTTTAACAGCCTGCAATTTGCTTATGACTCGTGATTTGCGCGCCATTTAGTCAGTTGAAGAGTGACTTCAACGCTGCTACGAAGAACGCTGGCAATGGTATCTCCTTGGCGCATTCCTTAACGGATACTAATACGACATGGTTCGCTGAACAGCTGGCTGGGGTTGATGCAAGTGGGGTTTGTGCCATGTTCATGCAAGGCGTATAGCAACGCCATTAGTTTTACCGAATCGAACGCTTTCTTGTAGTCAAAAGCTAAACAGAGTGGCCCTTGATACTCGTTGCACTTCAACTGCTGGATGACATGTATATTGTTGATTATATTAAGCCCTAGATAAGTGTTTGAACAATTCATGGTTCAGATAACCAAATACAGCAGATGGTACAACAGTTTATTTCCAACGCATTTCGCTACGTAGACCGTAGCATCATTAGGACTAAGCTAAGTAAAAATGAATGCTTGTAGGCAGATGTCCAACACGCAAACAGTACATTACAATAAAAATGTTGTTAAACCGAAAGGCCAGTGTTAACCAACAAACCAGTGTAAATTTCTTATTAAAATGATCTTATCAATTTTGCAATCGTTCTCCAGCTTTCGCTAATGACCGCAGAAGATGTGCTTTCATTGCATATTCGGTTTTTCGTTGCCAGTATATGCAAGGACTCCTTTGTCAGTTGACCTAGTTTAGATTGGTCTTTGTCTATAGCAGGCACATTGGTCTGACTGAAAGGATGTCTTTCAGTAATCGCATGCTGGGCAGTACCGGAACTGTCAGCCTGTCCAGGGCGGACCGCAGAAAAGTACTCCATTATCCTGATGTTCAATTTTCGGTTGGTCTTTCCAGTGTACACTTTGTCGCAGTCTTTGCACTGAATCTTGCATACAACATTTGACACATTTTCATGTTATTAATGGACAAGTACTTTTTAAATAAGATGTCGCTCGATGTTCTGCCAGTCTTGTATTAGAATCTGAACTACATGTGGTTGAGCTACCTCTTTATATGTTGCGATACCTGAGATATGAACGTTAATATTACCATTGTTCCACATGTGTATATAATTTTAACGTGATGTATTCAGAGGCGTTATTCAAAGCTCTTCCAGAACGCCGGGGTTATGTTTTGTTACTCATTTGTCATGGCAAGGTTCGTTGTTTGAATATACTTGTGTTAAACCCAAGTTTGAGACGCGCTGCTGCGTTCTGTACACTGCCGGCGCTTAAATACCATGGAGTCGTTGCCTGCTTAAATGGTTCCCCTATGCGTCTGTGAGCAAAGGC